AAACGAAATCGTCATTTAAAAAAATTTAATTTATCTTGTACAGGGTGTACGACTGTTTTTGAAGCTCTCAATGGTTTGTACTTGGTTTCATTATCATCTAGTAAATTGTTCCGTTTGTACAGCTCTAAATCTTCATCACCAGAAGTCGATTTGGATTTTTATAATATAGAGAAACGGAAACTATCAGGGATTATTCTACCAAAACATTTAGATGAAATAACAACCAGAAGAATTATTTTCTCACGTTTAATATTCCTCATAAAGCTTACATCTCAGTAATACGAATTTCCTTCAATTAAAATCAACGTTTACATCCTACCTCACTAGCTCGATAATTTACAAAACTTATATACAATCCACTCCTCAAAAGCTACATTAATTACTCATGATGAAATAAGTAAATGATGTCAGCAGATATGCCCCTCGTCTTCACATCAATAGAGGACATAATGATTAATGTAGAATAAACATTTACTCTCTACACTTGTTGTAATCAATCTTACGATGAATTTTCAACTTTCAATTACACATTTATGATTCAAAAAATATATTTGTCATCTTCTACTTCAATTCGCCGCAATAATTCATCATCATCGTAGAAAAAATTCATTGCAATTTAAAAGTAATTGTCAAATTGTTTCAATTTGAAATAAATATCAATTCGATAGAAAAAGTTTATCGATCACAAAGAAATAGAAGGCTTCGTTCAATGGTATTACACGATAAAATAAAAATAATTAACAAAATTGTGAGATAATTTCTCGACTATTTTTCATTTATATCTGCGGCGGTTTCCGTTGTTTGGAGGGCAAATGGTGTTTCTTTAGTTTTCTGCTTCTTTCAATCGCTTAATTCGATATCAATTTTTTACGATTCTTCACGAACCACTAGTGAAGTGGTGAGGGAATTCAAGTCTGAACATTTTGAAAATTTTCTCGTGATTGAGTGGATGTAGGAGAAAATGTCAAAAGACATTTTTTGTCAGATATTCAATTCCCTGCAAAAAAGGTTCTGTAACATTTTTCAATAAATCCACTGGATTCTGAGAAATTTACGAATTTGTCTGAATTGTGTTTTTCTTCTTCCTTTTTTTTTCTCAAATTGTTAGTTTTTCGATCATCTCGGTAATGAGTCGCCTCGGTAGAAAATGTTGAGGCATTTTTTGTGGTGATCCTTTTCCTGAGCCCACTCCTCACCCAAATAATTACTGAATTAACAATTGACTGCCCAATTCCATTATCTGCCGAACGTTATCTAAATTCATTTTTTGTTCGATTTTTATCTCTAAATCCCCAGTCGATGCCCCCGTTATTTTGAAAAAGCGTTTTCAATTAATATTGGAGAATGACTTCAATAGAGGAGACATGAATAATTATAATTCAGTAGCGAAGTGGTAAATCGGTACAAGTCAATTTTGACTATTGGCCAGTTTTCAGTTGATATCTCGAAATCTAAGGGAGATGGCAAAATTTTTGTTATAACCTTTTTTGTAGAGCCGATTGAGAGCTACAACAAATGTCATTACAAAAATTTCGCTATTTCTCTTCGATTCGGAAATATTCCTCAAAAACTCAACTGGGAGATGAGTCGACTTAAACCGGTTTACCACTTCGCTGCTGAATTTATTATAGATTATAAATTCAGGGAGTTTTTAGAAAATTCGAGAAAGAAGGAAAGACCATTGACGTATCTACGTACAATTACAGCTGTCTGCAATTTTTTTGACTTTTTTTTCCAATCCAAATTCATAATCTCTGAGTGACGGGGCGTCGAGTTGAAATTTCGAGGTAATCGAACAAAAAAGCAAATCTGCACGTCGTTTGGCAGATAAAGGAGCCGAGCCCGAAGATATTTCCACGTCTCAGCCACTTCACAAAGAAAAAAACCCTCCACGTCTTAAAAATAATCATCCAACAACAGATAAATCATTGAAAAGTCTTCATGACTCTGATATTTATGCAGGTTTTCGTGAAAAAAAAGTGCCCGGCCGAGCTAGGATCGGCCGCAGCACCTCGAAATTGTAGCTTAATCCTCAATTAATTAAGACGATCAAATCCCTCGTCTCGGTGCACTCGGTGCGAGCAGTTGCAGCGCCGTCATGGCGTCGGGGAATAGTGAGTGATAGTTGACGAGTGGTACGTAAGCAGCTGTGATGACTCTGCCAGCGAACCAACGACCGTGGAGTGAGTTGACTGCTGCCACTGCTGTGGCTATTGATGGACATTTAACGTAGACATTTCCCTGGGGCGAGGCTTGGTCCACGTAGACGTGGAGGACTCCACCGTGCTTGTTGCATTCCTCTATCACGTCGTCACGAATTTCCTTGGACCAGGTGGGGTTGGTTTCACTGGAAGAATAATTGCAGTTGAAAAAAATGCCAGGAAATGTAGGAGGTGAGGCGGAGGGGTTTCTATTGTTTTCCTGCAGAAAACCAATCGCTGAACAAAAAAATTAATTCGCCTCTTACATGGCTAAATTGGCTTTTTTTGTATTTTTTTACACAAATAGTGAGTTTTTTTACATGAAAAAAATCGAAATCAGTTGTGCAGAATTCGAATTCCAACCCTCTTCCTCCTCAAAATATTTGAAGAAAAAGACTACTATTATTTTTTAAAAATTAAAATTTTGTTCTCATTCAATTGTCACGGAATCATCAAAAAAACAATTCATTAATGAATAATTTTACTAGGGATAATTCACGTATTAATTTTGCATATTTGTACCCCCGGCAAGATGGTGCACTCGTCCCACCAGGTCTACTTGATATGCAACAAGAAAGAAAATTGATAAATAGAGGTGTACGTACTTTTGGGGATCGAACATATTCGACAGCATGAAACACTGGGTAGCTATCGGTGGTGCTGCCTGAGGGGGTGGCTGGGGGGTTGATATCACAGGTGCCATGTTCAAGGCATTAGCAGCAGCTGGTGGTATCTCCAGGCCAGTTCCCTCTGCTAGTTTAAACATCAATTGTAGCCTGAAAAGAAACAAGAAATATACAGAGTCAGAAATTATTTATTTCAATTTCAAACGAGGGGAAAATTCTTTTTAGTTTAGTTTTTAGTTTAAGTTTTGAAAATAATTTTTCAAAACTTCTGCATGATGCAGGACTCAATTGACAATTTCAGATGACGAAAGATGAAAAAAAAACATCGAGATGACGTTCGAAAGATAGTACACCCGGGCCTTAAGTGGACTTATCTCCCTGTTGAGTTTTTGATGAATATTTCCGAATCTAATCGAAATAGCGAAATTTTCGTGATTACATTTGTTATAGCTCTCAATCGGCTCTACAAAAAAGGATATAACAAAAATGTTGCCATCTCCCTTGGATTCCGAGATATTTATTAAAAACTGGTAATAGTCAAAATTGACTTATACCGTTTTACCACTTCGCTACTGATTTCGTTCACAAAATCCTCTAATAAATTACCTTCCAGTGGCTCCAAGATCGATTCCACTCCTATCGAGTTCATCAGTGTCCAACAACGATGGTCCCTGCATTAGATCAGTTCTCTCAGTGACATTTCCAACCTGAAAAAGTAATGAAAAAAAACTAATGAGTGAAATAGAATGAAATATCCACAGAAGAGTGATAAATTTGTGATAATTGTTTCAAACAACTGGTTAACAGCTGTTACCACTGTTAACAACGATCACAACTATATCAGTGGGGAAAAAACTGCCAGAATAAAAATTACAGGAATAAGATGCATCTATAATTTTATGACTGATTAAAATCATTTATTCAGTGTGAGGAACTTCCTGAGAAAATTCCCTACAAAAAATTTCTTCCAACTGTTTTTGAAATTAATTAGTACCATAAATCCCAGTGCAGTGTGTCCACACGTTTCACAGAATAAAAAAAAGAACCACGATATGAAAAAGAAAAGAATGATATCAGAAAGACTCGAGACAAAACGAAACGTTAATTTATCCCTATGATTTTATACTTCATCCAGTTATATTTCCAGTAAAGTTTAACAATATTTATCATCAATTCTGACTCTTGACAATGATTCAACATGATTAGACCACTGAATATGATAGAAAATTTGAGATTATTCCGATTTTTTATATTCGGTTTTTCGGAAAAAAAAGCTGAAGATTTTTTTTGTGCTTGAGAAAATTCTCTACTAAAAATGTCTTCCACCAGTGTTTAAGAAATTAATCAGTACCATAAATGCCAGTGCAGTGTGTCCACACGTTTCACAGAATAAAAAAAAGAACCACGATAAGAAAAAGAAAAGAATGATATCAGAAAGACTCGAGACAAAACGAAACGTTAATTTATCCCTATGATTTTATACTTCATCCAGTTATATTTCCAGTAAAGTTTAACAATATTTGTCATCAATCCTGACTTCTGACAATGATTCAACATACATAATCAGTTACCTTCATGGGCCTTCCAGCAAGTTCGAACCCATTCAACTGCTCCAGAGCCTTTTTAGCATCATCAGCATTTCTGAAAGTCAAGAATCCATACCCCTTGCTGCGTCCAGTCTCCGGATCCATGATCAGTTGGATATTATCGATCTTTCCGAAGGGCTCGAAGATGCCCCTGAGCATGTCCTCGGTGATGTTGAAGTGCAGTGAACCGACGTACAGTCTCATGGGTCCGGTCTGGCCCTTGGGCATGAGATTTGGCATGGAATTACCCATTCGGTTCTTCTCAGCTTGTGTGTGCTGCACCACTATCGGAACACCCAGGAGTTTCTGGCCGGAGAGACCCAGACCCAGGGTCACACTCTCGGGATCCTTGAACTCGACGTAAGCAATACCCTTGAATCTTCTCGTCTTGTTGCAAGTGATCAGTCTGACGTCTTGGACTTTGCCAACTGATGAGAAAAATTCCTCGAGGTCGCGGGCTCGAATTCTCTGCGAGAGCTGCATGCAGAAGACTGTACGTGCGTCACGCTCTTCTGGAGTTAATTCATCTGTTCTTCTGTAATTAATTTTTGGAAGTGATGTATTAAGGATGATCGGGCGAACTGGGAGGATTGGAAAAAAGCAGCCATTTTTTTATGTATTCTTCAAATGATGGAAAAGGCGTGTGCAAAGTTTCAGACTGCTGGGGAGCATGGTTAATTTATTATGAATTTTTGAGAAAGTGGTCATTTAACCCGTGATCTTATGGAAAGCAAAAAAAAATGCAAAACCCAAGGAAAAAATACAGCCAAAGTCATGAAACTTTAGACACATTTAGAACATGTGATCAGTGATTTTTTGAGTGAAAAAGATTGTCGCCTAGGAGCATTGTTTATTGATAATGGCGAAAAAAGTACTGAAAAATGAAATTTCTGCGCACGCAGCACAAACGAGCAGCAACGTCCCAAGTACCGATCGGGTGGGGGTAGCGCGGTCAATTTAAACGTCTCTTGAGAGAGAGCGATGAATTCGTTGTGATTGGAGCTCCCTCGAGCCAGTGGTACCAGCTCCTGGTGAAAAAAAAAACTACCGACGATGTTGCCACTTTTTCGCATGGATTAATATTTTTTCATTTATTTAAAAAAAAACAATCTGAAAACCATTCAATGCGTGGAACCGATACAAATAAATTTGATTAGCTCCAAAAATAATTTTAAACCGGAGATACTCCCTAATATTGCTTGAATTTTAAATCCGAATGGGAAAAATTTTTCCTCCTCGCCCGATTATCTTTAATGATGATGATTGAAGGATTTCAAATTACGAAAAGTGATGAGATTCAATTTAATTCAGTTATCGCTGATGTTGAATTTATTTCAATATTCGGGAAATGGATAAAAATAAGTAAATAAATAAATGAAACATGAAGATATCATCACATATCATCATAAAACAAAGATTTTTCGGGAGGAAAATTACGTATGGGAGTATCGAATAACGAAGGAGTAGTGCTAGAAATGACATTTCTTGCGTGCACAGAGAATGCAATTTTTTTTCAACTACTGAATCTATTTTTGCGACAAAAATTTTTCATTCCGGCGCACTCTCCATATTCGGCACAAAAAAATCCTTTTTTGATAATTTTCAAAAAAATATTTTCTTGGCACAAGTAAGACTTGTTCGAGAACTTTGTCGTTTTTCTGTCAGTGCATAGATGAAGTATGACACTGCACATGGGAAAATAAAACTTACATTCCAAGAGGACTGACCCCTTTTCCAAAAGGAGGCCGAGCCCTGGGGAGAGTTATAGGCGTCAGGGACCTCTTCCTCCTTCCCCTCTCCCTGTCGCGATCCTTCTCCCTCTCCCTCTCCCGCTCCCTCGTCCTCTCACGATCGCCGCGCTCAGGATGTCTCTCCTTCTCCTTTCTGTCCCTAGACCGTGATCTCCTCTTCCTGTCCCTCTCGCGCTCACGATCGCCCCTATCCCCTCTCTCCTTCTCCCTCTCCCTTTCCCTCTCCCTCTCTCTGTCCCTCTCCCTGTGTCCATCCCTTTCACGATCTCGTGATCGACGTGATCGGCGCTCTCTCGATTTTGACCGGGAGCGAGATCGATGTCTGCTTTTCCTAAAATTTAATAGTCACAGTCAATCCGGAGAAAACGTTTTTTACGCAGAGAGAAAAATTTCAAAAAAACAAATCGTGAATGATCTCGACCGCCAAGAGAACTGATTCAAACATTTACTCTTCTTTTTCCATTGAATAGGGAACTTGCACAGAGTCCAGTTTCCGAATATTTTCAAACTAGGGATGTGCGCGCGCTCGTCTATTCGTTGTGAAAATGAAGAAACCGAATTTATTAAACTTCATATACTCACAGATGTTTTATAAATATTGATAATGACTTGAAGAGAATTAAAGTGCGAGACCTTCAACCAAAACAAATCGAGGGGTTTATCTTTGAAACAATAATTAAAAGTGGATAAAAAAAATATATTGGCACTAACAAATGAAGTTTGTGCTGAAAAATGATTTTCAAAAGGCGTGCTCAGGGTAGACGGGACTATGTTGATAGATTTTAGAGGTTTAAATCTGTGTCAAAGTGTCGAAAGTCGTGGTTGTATAATTATCACTGTTGTTTTTTTTACATCCTGGTACAAAACAATATTTATAAGGAACTTTCATCACTCGATCCGGTTTTTCTGACATTTTGGAGCCAAATACATGTACAGAGTATTTTCCTAGATTTCAGCAGTTGTGCTAAACCGCTTGATGGCGCGCCACACAAAAATTTCGGCCTCCGATGAGGTGACTTCATAGGCCTTTTTAGAACGTTTAAAAAAATTCAATTTTTAAAGGCAAATAAATAATTATTAAACTATTTTCCGTGTTTCCTTATCAAATATGGGTTCTTGGGGGCATATATTTGAGGAAAAAAAAATTTTTTAAAACATGCAAGTTCCCTATTAATCAACTTTTTCAGTCCAAGAAATCCTGAATTCATGAATTCAGGAAAATATTCCTGAATCCTGGATTCATGAATTGAAGAAAAATCCTGGTTTTGCAAAAGAAAAAAAAAGTCGTTTAAAATCATCAGAATTTTTTTGAATAATTTTCTCTCAACGTAATTATCCTCTTCAAAATGTTGTCAAAACACTGACTCGGTCGATGAAAAATGCGTGAGAATAATAATAATCTCTTTATAACTGAGTCCAGTCAATCAATCATGAATAATCACCGATTTTTTAATAACTGGCTCGTTACCGAATTTGTTTTTAACATCGGCTAATACTCACCATCACTTGGGTATTACCGTTTGGGAATTATCGAAATAAAGCGGCATTTACACTAACTGTACGGTGTCTATAACAAAGAGAATATTTTTTGAGAGTGACTGTCACGTCGATGCTTACCGTCTGTTACTTTTTTTTCATTTTTATTGCGTTTTAAATGTTTCTTTTTTATGTTTGATGCTTTTCAACGCGTTTTTGATGCGTGTAACAATGTGCTATGAACAGAAAATCAAGAAAAACATCTGTGATTAAGTGAATAAGGCTTTTGGATAAGTTGGGATCATTTTTTAGGGGATTGGAAAATTTTTGGGGGAAACGATTTTTTTTTTAACACGATTTCAGTTTTGTCGCGAATCTTGCCATCCGAATACCTTTTTAAATTTTTCATTGTTGAATATATATTTTCGGGCATTTCTTCAATGAATATTGTGAACAATATTTTATTCAATTTTCAGTAGAGAAAATGATACCATTCTATAAAACATGAATAAACGAATCATAATTGTCCAAATGATTTTGGTCAGAGGGAAATATAATAGTTCTAGTGACTTAATAGCTAGAACTATGAAATCTTTACTTCTCTAAATATACCAGGGGACTATATGACCCCCGTGACCCTTAATCTGACCCTTGTAGCCCTTATTTGAACCCTTATTCTTACCCTTAAAGTAGCTCTACCCTTACGGTAAATTCAAAGATTATTGAAAACTGCAAAACAATTGCAGAAAACTCGATTAGATTCGGAATTCCAATTTTTTTCTCAATTTAATTATCGTTTTGGTGTTTCAAAGAAGAAATGTTTAAAAATCAGGATTTAACCCAGTGTCTTACGTGAAAATCAACATTTCCATTGTAATTAAAGATTAAAATCTGAATTTTTTTCCATTAGATGTGAAAAAATCAAGAATTTTTTTGACACCCCTTGTTTTGCAAACAAGTTTTATTATTTATTTACAAGAGGGAAATGTTTGAAAAAATATCAATATTTTGCGAAAATCAATTTAGATAATGCGGACTGGGTATGAATTTTTTCAATTTTTTTCCATGCAATTTAGTTGAAAAATTGAAAAACTGAAAATATCCAAAAGTACAGCGTAGCCCGGCCGAAAGGTAGAGCTACTTTAATCGACCCTCATCGCCCATCCCTAGATATAGCTGCGCTCGCGCCGCGTCAAGTAAAACCGAAAAAAAAAAAAACAAATTTTCCAAATTGCGCAAAATGGTTGTTTTCATCCTTCCCTAACATCCCAGCCTTATTCACCTTAATTACAGAAATTGATGAACTGAAAATGAATGAAAAATAAATAAACTCACCCAGAACCTCTCCTACTGGACCCATTCTCCCTGGACTTATCTTTGGACGATTCCTGCTCCTACGAACAGCAAACAGTTGAATGCCATGCCAGCCAGCCAAGATGGCAGGGACGCGCGAACAAGGGGACAAAAAGCAAATCATCTGACGTTAGTTAAATCTCAATAATGATGATCATTAAATTTTTAATAATCTTGAATCAATTAAACTCTTCAACTTCCTTCCGGAAATGTCACGAATTCCCTCCAACGCCCATCAAGCCCACGAGTTACGTTGATCTCACAATATCATGATCTTTTACATTGAAAAATCACTAAAGGGTGAAGTGGAAGTTGATACGGCAGACATTTTCACTATACATTTCGGCAATGAGAGGTGAATTTGCCGAGTCGCAAAACCCGTCTCAAACTTACCAAATCGCTTATCGGGTTTTAGGAAAGCATTGCAATCTTGGGTTGAGCATGCCTTGGTCTTAAACTACCAATGGCCAACCACACATCCTTTTTCTTCTGCAAAAGAGAGCCCTCGTCAAAGACAGTACGATTTTTTTTTATTTTTTGTCAGGTTTTTTTATAAGACGTGATGGATCCTATTGTTTAGTATCCGGGGAATTCATCCCTCAAATTCATCTCAGAACAAAGCAATTCCAGATAAATACGCCTGAGTGTAATCTTCTTGAACATTCTTTTTCGTTTCAACTTGTGCTCGACATTGAGCAATTTAACATTGAGTAATTTATCGGATTAGTTGAGTGTCAATCGTGTGTAAAACAGTTCTACAGCTCGTTTGCATTCTTTGATGTTTTCGTTGTACGTTGCGCATGAGGAGTGTCTACACTGATAGAGAAAATTATTTTTATTGAGATGTCTCTTTCTTGGAATAAGTATTGTATACTTGAACCAATTTCAAATGAATAACATCTTACGGTGGATATCAATTATTTCTTCTTGAAATACATTTACTTGAATCAAATTAAACAGTCCCTGGCGTCGAGTCACGTGTATTCACCACAAAAATGAAAAAGTTCTATTTTTTTAACCTAATATAATCTCCAGTCGAGAAATTTTCTACTTTAATGAATTGATCAAAAATTCGTATCTAGGTGATGATTACATTGAGGAATGAATTGAATGTTTTCTCGAATGAAGCCGATGTTTAAATTGAGCTCTCCGTACATCACATTGAACGAAATTTGTGATATCCAAGTTTGTGTAGAATTGCCGTAATCTGTGATTCTGTTATTGTAAACTAATGCGATTTTTTTAAGTCAAGAAATATAAACTTCTTTCAACTCAACGACATCTTACTACAATCTCAAAGCTTTTTCCGCGTAACAATATTCATCCTGATTCGACATACGAAATGCTCACTTCAATTATAATTTACTTGGAGCAACGTATGATCGTGTTGATTGAGATAACAACGTATTTAGTCATGAGAATAATTTTGATTTTTGAGTAAACCGACGAATTTCTGGAGTTGGCAAACTTTTGGCTAGAAAGAAATCAAATACTCTCATTATTGCGACAAATAAAAGCAACTTCAATTCTAGAGAAGTTCCATTTCTCCCAATCAAATGTATCTCAAGAAGAGATAACTGGTATTCACTGTGGAATCATGTTTATTTGAAAATTAACAATCAAATGATAGTTGGTTCAAATAAAATTCTCTCGCTAAAATTAATTGTTTCTGTCAGTGTATCATGCTGTCAAAAATTCTCGCTGACTGATCTCAAGGAAACATCGCTGCGTCGGCAATGGTTTTGTGTGACGGTGAAGGAAATGCTGGGTGATGTCAGCAGCTTTCTTACAAATTTCAGGTGGATATAGAGTAGAAAACGAGGAATTCAATCGTACAAAAAATTATCATCTTCCGATAATGGACTTTCAAGGGGTGATCGTTAGAATTTTTCAATTCTTTAGGTAATATCGTTGTGATTGATTGTCGCGATGATTGGAAACGGTGATTCAGCTGTCAATGGGACTATAATATAAAGTTTATATAATACTTGATATTGCTGTTCATGATGATACAATTATGGGTTTCACTGTTGCAATGAACATTGCTCAAACCATCGGAAATAATACGTTAGATGGATTATTTATTCGACTTTGCGGTCATTCGTAATGAAGCTGAAACTAGCGAAAGATTCGACAGCAGAAGATTTGTCTTAGGCAAATCTAGGGGTGTACAAATATTTTTAAGCAATGTACAAACTCTTTCGCACTTAAATAACATTTGTACATATGATTATTTGACTCTCCTACACTTAAATATCCCCTAAATTGAATTTTCCGCTGACGAATCTTCTGCTAGTTTCAGCTTCATTCATTCGTAATAGGGAATTGCCTTGTTCAATTATGACGGGAGTCTACCATGATGTTATTGGCTAGAGATAATCTGGTCAGAGATGAGCGGACAAGTTGCGATTTTTTATTGGTGCCACAATTTTAGGGCTGACTAGCGGGCTTAACAAAAAAAAAACTAGCGGGATTTTTCGAAGAATTCCATACTATTAAACCAATTCTTATGGAAATGAAGATGACATATTCCTCCTAAATTCTGATTGGTACACTAATTTCTTCATTTAGAAATGAAATTCAGTAGCGAAGTGGTAGAGCGGTTTAAGTCGACTCACCTCCCCGTTGAGTTTTCGAGGAATATTTTCGAATCTAAGGGAGATAGCGAAATTTTCGTAATTACGTTTGTTGTAGCTCTCAGTCGGCTCTACAAAAAAGATTATGACAAAAATTTTGCTATCTCCCTTAGATTCCGAGATATTCATTGAAAACTGGTCAACAGTCAAATTTGACTTATACCGTTTTACCACTTCGCTACTGAATTGTAATTCGTCTGGGAAGGCATTCCAAGTGATGGAGCTGACGCTAGCGGAATACTCGCCAGGGGAAGATTCAATTTAAATCACGTGCAAACGAGTTTCCAGACGACTTATGAGACAATGGAACTTACTATCGGAGTAGAAACTGGACTCCAAGTTTTTTCGTCGTCAGACGACTGTTTAGCAAAAGCCAAATTCTTACACCATACACTGAGAGAAAAACAAACATGTCAAACAAATCTTGTTTGGGCCAACAAAATCGCTGGTTGAAAATTGCCAAAAAAGAATTTGTTTGGTTTCGAATTTGAAAGTCTTAAACATGAATAATTGTTCTGCTTTCGACAGCAACGAAATATTTGGCTCAAGAGGCGGATAATTCACGCCAGACGGCGCCTTTTCAGGATGAAAATGTCTCATATAGAGGAAAATTTATCAACAAATATTTTATCCCTAAGTTACAAAATTGCTATCATATCATTATTATTGTTTCATTTAAGGGTTCATTTGTTGTCTGTGATTATTAGACAGCTGAAACGAAAAACGACTATCCCTTGTTTCGCATTAAACAAAGATTTTTCGGGAGCAAATTACGTATGGGAGTATCGAATAACGAAGGAGTAGTGCTAGAAATGACATTTCTTGCGTGTACAGAGAATGCAATTTTTTTTCAACTACTAAATCTATTTTTGCGACAAAAATTTTTCATTCCGGCGCACTCTCTCCGTATTTTGCACAAAAAAATCCTTTTTTGATCATTTTCAAAACAATATTTTCGTGGCACAAGTAAGACTTGTTTGAGAACTTTGTTGTTTTTCTCTCACTCAGTGTAAGAAAAAAAAAACTTTCGTCAAGAAATTTTGTACTTGTCCTAAAGATGAGGACAATTTCTTGATGACAAGGAAGCAATTTCTCAAATCAAGTAAAATTCAGTTAATTCATTTAATAGTTTTCTCGCCTCAATTTTAAATCGTTTTAGTGCAAAAGTCACTTGAATTGATTTGACAAGTCGTTTTCTTGATATGAACCACCAATTGCCCTCATCTTTCGGACAAGTATAAAATTTCTTGGCCCATTTTTCTTGACGCATTCTCCTTGATTTTGAGAATATCATGGGGTAAAATTACACGAGACGATTTATCTGGAATAAAATTGTTTGCCCCGTTTTTTTTTCTGGAATGAACTCACCTTCAACCCTATTGTTTCATCTAATATGCCTAGTCTCTGCATTCATTATTATTATTCGATGATTATTACAATGCGCAAGGGGAATTGCCCATTCTTGCAATTTTTTTCATTGAATATTACAGTTTTGTTAGTCAGAATTTTCATGTTAAAGATATTGTTTTTATTTGAAGGGGTTGAAATTACATGAAAAAACATCATTATGAGCCTCCGAGGAATCCCAAGATCTAGAAAAACTCAGTAAAATGAGGCAAATCAAGGAAAATTCAATATAGCAGTGGCAAAATGAGATGAATCAAGTTTTTATTAAAAATGGGGGGGGGGGACAATAGACCCTTTACTTTTTGGAATAATTTTTTATTTTAATGAAAAGTGAAATTCGTCTCCTTTGCGATGAGCCTAGACTGAGCTCAACTGATGAATCAGCTTCTGAGTTATGAATGTTAACAAAAAATAATATTGATATTATTTATATTAATATTTTGAAAACATCAAGAGTGTCCATTTTACTCCACCCACCCCTATTTTCGTATCGAAGAGAGACAAAAGAATTTTTGTGCCTCCCTCGTAGATCGGAATGACCGATAAAAATTTCAATATCTCGTTCAGATCTCGAGGTACTGAAAATTGAGCTCATCTCAGTTTACCACTTTCTACAGAATCTAATCAGGAAAAATACCTCTTCCTCGAGCATAATTATCTCCAGGTTATCTTCTACATCCGCTTAAACTCCTCCCTCACCCCCAAATCTCACCATTATCGAATAACCCCAACAACAATGAATTCAGAAGTGAAAAGGGAGTGATCAGGGTGAATCGATTTCTCTCGAGCATCAGTTTTTTGTGAATATCGCGTTATTTGATAAAAAAATCGAAATTTTCGTTAAGGACATTTTTGTTGCTCTTTTTTTGCTCTATAAAAAAGGTTCCTATCAAATTTTCCCATCTTCCCTAAATTCAAAGATATTGACCGAAAACTTACCTTCAAGTCGAGTTTTTTTTTTTTTTTTTTTTTTTTTTTTTTTTTTTTTTTTTTTTTTTTTTTTTTTTTTTTTTTTTTTTTTTTTTTTTTTTTTTTTTTTTTTTTTTTTTTTTTTTTTTTTTTTTTTTTTTTTTTTTTTTTTTTTTTTTTTTTTTTTTTTTTTTTTTTTTTTTTTTTTTTTTTTTTTTTTTTTTTTTTTTTTTTTTTTTTTTTTTTTTTTTTTTTTTTTTTTTTTTTTTTTTTTTTTTTTTTTTTTTTTTTTTTTTTTTTTTTTTTTTTTTTTTTTTTTTTTTTTTTTTTTTTTTTTTTTTTTTTTTTTTTTTTTTTTTTTTTTTTTTTTTTTTTTTTTTTTTTTTTTTTTTTTTTTTTTTTTTTTTTTTTTTTTTTTTTTTTTTTTTTTTTTTTTTTTTTTTTTTTTTTTTTTTTTTTTTTTTTTTTTTTTTTTTTTTTTTTTTTTTTTTTTTTTTTTTTTTTTTTTTTTTTTTTTTTTTTTTTTTTTTTTTTTTTTTTTTTTTTTTTTTTTTTTTTTTTTTTTTTTTTTTTTTTTTTTTTTTTTTTTTTTTTTTTTTTTTTTTTTTTTTTTTTTTTTAATGAGTATTAACCCTGTCATTGGACTGTTTGCACACATGATTATTATATACATTCAAACATAAAATTACAACGTTTCGTATTATACAGGGTTTTCAAATTCGAATGTGGTTTTTATTTATTTATTCGCATCTCGACTAAGAATGCGGCTATGGTGTGTTTGACTCATCTTAGATGAATCAAATCCGTTTGTCTTTTTTCGGGAATATCTCGTTATCTAACAAACATGACCAAATTTTCATTCGACCATTTTTTGTAGAGCAGAATCCCTTCTCCAAAAATGCTCTGGACAAAAAGTTCGCTATTCACTTACATTTCTAAGATATTCATAAAAAACTGATCTGCCTCGGAGTAAGGAGGAAGCGAAACTGGGCCGTTTTTAATTTAATAACTCGAGATCAAAGGAGTTCTTTCCATTCTATCCAAAAGGTATTTTGCCAAGCTTTGAGGATATCCAAGTACTTTTGAACACTTTTTCTCCAGTGAAATGCCTTTCTACTTTTCTAGTCGAACATCAGAGCTTTCATTTGAGCCCCATCTAACCCCTAGTTTCCGGACATTTTACAATGGTTTTATTATTCAAGAATCTCGACATTAAACCGTTAGAAAACATTTTAAAAATCCGAAAAAAAATTAGAAAGATTGCTTATGAACAAAGATTGATAGAATAATTTACAAATTGCAATTTTTGACAATTTCGAGCATTTTCTATAAATAATTTACAAACAATCAATTTTCCGTCATAAAAATCATTTGTTCGAAACTGTAATCAACTTATTCATATTTAGAATTGTACCAGAATTTGATATTTATAAACAAAGAATGCTTTAAAAAATAATAATTCTATGCAAAATGTAATTTGAATGACACAGAATATTCATAATTCTTTTTAAATATTTCTCATGCAATTTAATTGACAAATTTGATGGTTGAAAATTGTTGAATCTACACTGACAGGCGAAATTAATTTTATGAAGAGAACTTTATTTGGGCCAACTATCATTTGGTTGTTAATTTTCAAATAAACATGATTTCACAGTGAACATCAGTTATCTCTTCTTGAGATACATTCGATTGGGAGAAATCGAACTTCTCTAGCATTCAAGTTGCTTTTATTTGTCGCAATAATGAGAGTATTTGATTTCTTTCTAGCCAAAAGTTTGCCAACTCCAGAAATTCGTCGATTTACTCAAAAATCAAAATTATTCTCATGACTAAATACGTTGTTATCTCAATCAACACGATCATACGTTGTTCCAAGTAAATTATAATTGAAGTGAGCATTTCGTATGTCGAATCAGGATGAATATTGTTACGCGGAAAAAGCTTTGAGATTGTAGTAAGATGTCGTTGAGTTGAAAGAAGTTTATATTTCTTGACTTAAAAAAATCGCATTAGTTTACAATAACAGAATCACAGATTACGACAATTCTACACAAACTTGGATATCACAAATTTCGTTCAATGTGATGTACGGAAAGCTCAATTTAAACATCGGCTTCGTTCGAGAAAACAACATTCAATTCATTCCTCAATGTAATCATCCCCTAGATACGAATTTTTGATCAGTTCATTAAAGTAGAAAATTTCTCGACTGGAGATTATATTAGGTTAAAAAAAATCGAACTTTTCCATTTTTGTGGTGAATACATGTGACTTGACGCCAAGGACTATTTTATTCCATTCAAGTAAATGTATCTCAAGAAGAAATAACTGATATCCACCGTAAGCTGTTATTCATTTGAAAGAAAGAAGCATCTCAATAAAAATAATTTCTTCCATCAGTGTCCAGTCTGGTCCGTACCAAACTGCAAAAAATACCTGGATATCCCCAATAGCCTCCCCCAAGCACGACTCACCCTGTCCCACCCTTCACACCACAACTCCAACAAAAAAAAATTGAAAAAAAAAATAAATAAATAAAAAATGATGATAGTGATGGCAATGGCTTAAGTACCTCTTATTCAAGTGCATTCAAGGAACTTGCTGTCGATCATCGGTACGACCGAGAGGGTACATTTGTTACGTACCATCTATAAGTACAGAAAATCATGGCATTGATCAATCAATTAAAACGAATTTCCAATGTTTCATTAAAATCTCTACTTCTCTTTCATCAGATTATCAATTAGCCTTCAGCCAATACGTGAAATGAGGACGCCTGCCTCAACTGTTACACAATGCCTCAGTCATTAATATATTTTTTTCCTTCCACATTTGATAATGGAGTGAATTTAGTCATTCCTCTGCTCCGAGAATTGTCCATTTTCTTTATCAACAAATATTTCGATTTATTATCACTTACCCCTTTTCTGTACGGTGCCTCGAGCATCGCCTCCACGTCCAAGTCCTCCGCCATTGTGCGACTTGGAGATGTTTCTGAAATGCCACGCATTAGCACACGACAATTTCAATGATTAGAACTCACTGGTGGATTATGGATTTTCAGTATTTGTTCTTCTGGGTGTTCACTTTAATTGTTTACTTCGGTTGATTGGGCGATCAGGGGTTGGGGGGTTGTTTGGACCCTTGAGGGGGTATTCAACGTGTTTTTGGTCGAAGTTTTGGTGAGAAAACTCTCGCGAACGTTTGGGCGAAAGGCGAAAATGGCTGACGAATTGTGGGTCTTTGCGGATGTGACGTCGGCGTCAAGGGAAGAGTGAGAGGACCTCCGGCGGCGGTGGAGGGAATCAGGGGAAGGGTGGACGGTGCTGACGCTGGTGGGGGTTTTGAAGTTACAAGTGGGTCAGTCGGTAAAGTAGTTATTGTTCAATAGGGAACTTTTTTTTTTCTTCCGAAAATATATGCCTTTCAATTGAAAGCCCGAGTTGAAGACCCGAGTTTGTAGCAAAGATGTCAGACAAGATATGAATGTTTTTTTGGGCTCAAACGAAAGAGCGGGTCGAGAAATGGCGTGCTAGGACCTCTAAAGATGGTTTTGAACCAGGGGAGACTCCTAGACCCCAATGTTCTATACATACTCCTAGACCCCATTGTCCTCCTAGACAATGTTGTCACAACTCTGCTTTTCAATTGAAAACAGACATCATCTTTAGAGACATTTGTCATGTTTAGAGGCCCTAGCACGCCATTTCTCGACCCGCTCTTTCATTTGAGCCCAAAAAAACATTCATATCTTGTCTGACATCTTTGCTACAAACTCGGGCCTTCAACTCGGGCTTTCAATTGAAGGCCCGAGTTGTAGACCCGAGTTTGTAGCAGCGATGTCAGACAAGATATGAATGTTTTTTTGGGCTCAAATGAAAGAGCGGGTCGAGAAATGGCGTGCTAGGGCCTCTAAACATGACAAATGTCTCTAAAGATGATGTCTGTTTTCAATTGAAAAGCAAAGTTGTGGCATCATTGTCTAGGAGGACAATGGGGTCTAGGAGTATGTATAGTACATTGGGGTCTAGGAGTCTCCCCTGGTTCAAAACCATCGTCAGAGGTCTTAGCACGCCATTTCTCGACCCGCTCTTTCGTTTGAGCACAAAAAAACATTCATATCTTGTCTGACATCTTTGCTACAAACTCGGGTTTTCAACTCGGGCCTTCAATTGAAAGCCCGAGATATATATTTATAAAAAATTATTATTATATATATATATATATATATATTTTTTTCACAATTACATCATTGTTCAAAAATTTCTTTATGTACTACATTTTTCATATATCTATTTCCATCTTTTTTAGTTTTTATTCGACCTCCTTCAGTCATGCATATTTTCAATTTTTCACTTGTCTTCACTCTTGACAATACCACGTGTAATTGACCACGACTGCATACATTGCTTTTAAGATAAACACTTACTTTTTCTGTCTATCCATTGACGTTTTTCTATGTACCCATAAAATGTTGGAATTGATCATTATTTTAAATCAAGACGTACCAATTTTTTTTTAAATGTCAATGGATATGACACTTTTTCATCACTTTAATCCCATTTCAATAAAATGGAATAAGAAAAATGCACAGAATGATCAGCAAGAAAATAAAAATTTCGATTTTTCAATATCTCCGGAAAGTTTTACAACTGATATATTTTTTCAAATAATGAAAGAATACCCATCAATTCAATTTCTATCCTCCCATTTTGATAGAGTGCATAAAAGAATAGCAAAGAGTAAAAATCGGAGATGAAAAATTTTATCGGATTAATATAATGTAATTGCCCATCACTGAAAATTACCAAGACGATTGAAATTTCCTCGAAAAAATTGAGTCGCCATCGAGCTCCCCAGAAATTATTTATCAACGGTTCTCCCCGCACCCAAACAAAGAGAATGCCTGACAAAACGCTACCCCAGAAATCGATAGAAGAAAAAATTCTACGCAGTATCTTCTGCATCCTACATCAAGACTCCTCAAGAATCGTTGAGTTGCGGCGTTAGGGGTGCTACCCCAGATTCTCCCCCATCTAGCTCCTACGAATCCATTAATCGTAGGGACCCCTCGGTCAGGAGGGTGGAAATGCCAAAGGGAGTTGCGTAAAAACGAGGCCAGGCAATACAGAAGGCGTGGTCCATGCACGCAGCAACGAATTTCCTTCCGAGTTTTTCTTACGAATCTCCCTCCCCGGTCTATCTATTCTTTTTTTTTCCCCGGGTGTTGAATGACCCTATGTGGGTTGCTGGGTCGACAATATACGATAAAGAAAGGGCGACGGGGAAATGAAGGGCTGGAGCATTTCCTCCAGGATGTTTTTCCTTTCTTCCCTTTTACGTCACGTCCCTGACGTAAGAAACGAATAAAGAGCGAATTATCTCGGGTGCACTGATAGAAGACATTATTTTTATTTGAGATCTTTCTTTCTTGGATCTAGCATTGTATACGTGAACCATTCTGGAATACATAAGGTCTTACGGTGAATATCAGTTATTTCTTCCTGAGATACATTTACTTGAATGGAATAAAACAGTCTTTGGCGTCAAGTCACATATATTCACCACAAAAATGGAAAAGTTATATTTTTTTTAACCTAATATAGTCGCCAGTCGAGAAATTTTCTACTTTCATGAATTGATAAAAAATTGGTTCCTAGGAGATGATTACATTGAGGAATGAATTGAATGTTGTTTTCTCGAATGAAGCCGATGTTTAAATTGAGCTTTCCGTACATCACATTGAACGAAATTTGTGATATCCATGTTTGTGTAGAATTGCCGTAATCTGTAATTCTGTTATTGTAAACTAATGCGATTTTTTAAAGTCAAGAAATAAACTCCTTTCAACTCAACGACATTTTACTATAATCTATCTTTCGAACGTTATCTCGATGTTTTTTTTCATCTCTCGACATCTGAAATTGTTAATTAAGTCCTGCATCATGCAGAAGTTTTGAAAAATTATGAATGAATAATCAATAAAAAGTAGAAAAAATTCTTAATTTTTTCAAAGAGCATTTTTAATTTATATTCAGAATAAGTTGAATAACAAGAAATTGTAAAATGTATCTGATTTACGGTGACAAATGGCGGCTTGTCACCCAATATCATGCAGGGGGAAGACTGATTTCGTAAATCTTTTCCCACACTGTACGGAGACATTTATTACGGAAAAGGCTCTTTGAAAAAAGTTGTAATATTTTGGAGAATTTTTTAATCACACCTTTATCACGTAAAAATGGTAGATGACTACATACCACTGTNGCCACAGCGAATCAGATATGTGTAATTTCCACTTTTTTCAACTCATTCTGAATCTCAATTAAAAACGCTCTTTGAAGAAGTTCACAATTTTTTAAATTTTTTTTATCATTCTATCATAATTTTTGGGAATTTCTACATGACGTACCACTCAATTGACAATTTTGGATTACGACAGATAAAAAAAATCCAGATAACATTCGAAAGATAGTACACTCGGGCCTGAAATCCTGATTTTACACATTTCTTCCTTGAAAAACCAAAACGATAATTAAATTGAGGAAAAAATTGGAATTCCGAATCTAATCGAGTTTTCTGCAATTGTTTTGCAGTTTTCAATAATCTTTGAATTTACCGTAAGGGTACAGCTACTTTAATAAGCTCGTCAAATATTGAACAAAACCGGGAATTCCCCTAGCTCTCCAATAGAACAGGTGGGAAATTCCATTTCCCACTTAGAAATATTTTTCGGGGGTTCAACGACCCATTGCCGCTGGTGAGTCGAAGGAAAAAGCAGTTGAGCGTGAAGAATGGTCAGAGTGTAGGGACTGAAATTTTTACCTCCGTCCTTTCATTATTTCTTTTTTTTTCGGCCGAGGGACAAATAAAGGGAAAGTCGAAGTCCTCGGGATTCGGGGGATTGGCCCACCTTCCCTCGGTTCAACGCCCCCGCAGTCAGGCCCTCGCCAGGTCAATAAAGAGAGAGGAGGAATGGTCAAAGAAACCTGTATACCGATCCCCATGAGCGTGAATCACAGGTTTTAGTGGTCACTGGCCCTTTTCTATTAATGGAAGTGGTGAATCGATTTCGGAGGCAGGTTGCAGGGGCACCCATAATGCTCCGTGGAATTTTTGGTTATGACATCGAGGGCATTAGCCCCGGGTTAATAGTCATCCTCAGCGTGGGGGAAATGTCGATTTTCTTTTCCCTTTTCTGGTGCCGACCTCCTCCGATGTCATTCGATATCTCGAGTGCTAGTCAGAATATTTGATTTTTTTTGCCTCCGAATGGAAGCTTTGTAATGCAAAATTTCTGCCCTGTCGATCTAATTGTTTTTGAGAACAGGCGATTCGTTTTTTAATCGTCAGTTATCAAATTTGGCAATTAATTTGCGGGAGAAAAATTTGAGAAAAAATGATGAAAATCACATTTGCCATTATTTTTTTTTATATTTGTTGTTTGTAAATAAATAATTGAAATTGTTAGACTTTCGGAACACTTGCTTTTGGTTTTTTAATCGTCAGTTATCAAATTTGGCAATTAATTTGCGTGAGAAAAATTTGAGAAAAAATGATGAAAATCACATTTGCCATTATTTTTTTTAAAATTTGTTGTTTGTAAATAAATAATTGAAATTGTTAGACTTTCGGAACACTTGCTTTTGGTTTTTTAATCGTCAGTTATTAAATTTAGCAATTAATTTGCGTGAGAAAAATTTGAAAAAAATTATCAAAATTACAATTTTATTTTATTATTTTTATTTTTTATTTTTTATATTTGGAATTAATCGCGAGATTATGCAACATTCTGCATCGGAAAATTGTAGTTTTCAAACAATTCGTGAACTTTTCAGAGTTTTTTGGAACATTTTGTATCGGAAAATTGAAGTTTTCCAGACGATTTGTGAACTTTTCAGAGAATTCTCTACCATTCTGGATCGTTCTTGAACTTCCGAGAACTTTCCATTGCATTTTTAATCAGTTATTACAAAATATCCAGACCACATTTCGGAAAACTTTTTCCTCTGGAATGGTTCATAGACTAGAAAGACTATTCATTTAAAAATATTCGAAAATTGGACTCTATGCAAGTTCCCTATTCCTCAAACCAGTACACAATTATCAGTAAAAAATTTTGGACTAATTGTAAGACAACGAGTGCTTCTACTTGATAACGGAATAATTCTTCGATAAATATTTAAGGGAAAAATGAAAACACAAGTAATATTTCTCGTAATTAAAAAGTTTAATCTTCCTTAAATTCTCTCCTTCGTCGAGGTGCATGTATTTTTCATTCACAAAACGAAATAATTACCACAATAAATCAATTATACCATAAATTATGTAATCATCCAACAGACAACCTCTTAAACCTAAATATATAAATTTCATTGATCTTCGTTCCTATGTACAAAAGAACTAATGCAAAATGAAAAAGACAGTGAGAAACTTAAAACAACGTAACAACACACGATCATGACAGTACAGAATGATGGATATTGAATTAAAGCCCTCAAATCAGTTAATTACGCATTTACGATTAACTAGTACGTTTTTTCATTAAATTCCATAGTACGCAATGGAGACAATTTTCACTGTGAATTAATTTCACTATCGATTTTCGGGCAATTCGTTTGAGTATGAGCATGCAACACGCTTCAATGTTAATTTATAAATAATATAATTAGTATGTACAATACATACACTCACAACAAGAGTCATTCGGCAGAAAACTTCGCTTTAATAATTTTTTTTTCTCAATTTTCATCGCATAATTATCATCTTAATTACTTAATTTAAGATATATGCTTGTAATGGCAGGCGGTTCCGTATTTTTTTATTCGATCAGACTGGCACTGGGATTTATTCAATTACATCATTTCGATAGTCAAGTGGGCGAGACCCGGGGATGAGCCCAGAAATGGATTCGTCGATTATAAACCAAAAATTTGCGATTATCTCGAGAGGTAAGCGGTTTAGAGAGAAATGTCTCAGAACCTTTTTTGCGGAGAATTTAATTCTCCATAAAAATGGTCATATAACATTTTTCTCTCAATCGACTCCCTTCCGAGATAATCGCGATATAAAGTCTCCACTTTTGAAGTACATTCCCCCTGTCTACCCCTTCCCTACGTAATTATCAATTAATCACGAAATATATTAATTATGTCTTGAGATATACTTCTTAAAATTAGAAAAATCGAACAGCGCACGTAAATATATTTTTCGCACCCCAAATTCTTCTCCTCCACCTCAATCAATTTCTTCCTTTTATCAATTAATCAATCAATTAATAGTAAAGACAGGGTGTGCCCTCTAACCATTACTTCAGCCTCTAATTTTAACTACAATATAATATTCTTCAATCGCACACACTCTATTGCCAGTCTTTGTACGCATACTTGAGAATGTAACGAGCGAATGATTATACTCGATTATGTTCGTCAGAGACATTTAAAAATATGAAATTTTCGTTAATTGCCAGCCGGACGATAAGCACGAGGTATATATTGTAATGAGCCTAGAGATTTAAGGCAACACTGGTGCATGAAATGGTGATTTCAATGCATGGGATTATGACATGGCGATTGGTGCTTTCGATTACCGGCGCTGGCGCTATTTTTCGATTTGTCAAGCTGATGAAGTGGAATATTTCGATGATGGGAGGAAATACACTGGACTATTGCGGAGCTAGGCAAATTTTCGGTTTTTGTTGTTCGGGGTGAATTCATCCTAATGCAAAATTGTGCCAAAGTTCAGGAATATTTTTACTGGTTTTTTGAGGGTCAAATAGTTTTGAAGGTCAAACGACCTTTGAGGACGTTTAGAGTGAGGGTCAAATGGTTTTTAGGGTCAAAGGACTTTTGAGGATGGTTAGAGGGTAGAGTCAAATGACCCGTAAACGTGTTTGAGGTTGAGGGTCAAAGGGTTTTCAGGGTGAAACTAGTTTTGAGCATGTTTAGAGTTGAGGGTCAATAGTCGTGAGAGTCGAGCGACTCGTAAACACGTTTGGAGTTGAGGTTTAAAGGGTTTTGAGGATGTTTGAAGTGGAAGATCAAATGGTCTTGAGAGTCAAACGACCCGTAAAGACATTTGGAGTTGAGGGTCAAATAGTTTTTTAGGACAAACGACTTTTGAAGAGGTTTAAAGTTGAGGATCAAACGACTCGTAAACACGTTTGCAATTGAGGTTTAAAAGGTCTTCAGGATGTCTAGAGGTGAGGGTCAAACGACCCTTAAAGACGTCTGGAGTTGGGGGTCAAAGGGCTTTTGAGGACGTGTAGAGGCCAGGGTCAAACGACCCGTTAACACATTTGGAGTTGAGGTTTAAAGGGTTTTGAGGATGTTTAGAGTTGAAGATCAAATGATCTTGAGGGTCAAACGACCCTTAAGAGCCCCTGCAGTTGAGGGTCAAATGGTCTTGAGAGTTAAACGACCCGTAAAGACATTTGGAATTGAGGGTCAAATAGTTTTTTAGGACAAACGACTTTTGAAGAGGTTTAAAGTTGAGGATCAAACGGTTTTGAGGGTCAAACGACTCGTGAACACGTTTGGAGTTGAGGTTTAAAGGGTTTTGAGGATGTTTGGAGTGGAAGATCAAATGATCTTGAGGGTCAAACGACCCTTAAGAACCTCTGGGGTTGAGGGTCAAATGGTCTTGAGAGTTAAACGACCCGTAAAGACATTTGGAATTGAGGGTCAAATAGTTTTTTAGGACAAACGACTTTTGAAGAGGTTTAAAGTTGAGGATCAAACGGTTTTGAGGGTCAAACGACTCGTGAACACGTTTGGAGTTGATGTTTAAAAGGTCTTGAGGACGTCTAGAGTTGAGGGTCAAAGGATCGTGAGGGTCAGACGACCCTTAAAGACGTCTGGTGTTGGGGGTCAAAGGGTTTTTGAGGGCGTGTAGAGGTCAGGGTCAAACTACCCGTAAACACGATTGGAGTTAAGGTTCAACAGGTCAAGTGGTCTTAAGGGTCAACCGGTTAGAGTCGAATGATCAACAAAGTCATTTGACTGTCAAGATTATTTGACTTTCAACTAAAGACAAAAACACCTGAAGTATGCTAATTACTCGTTTTCCCTGGTGTTCCGTTGCGCCCTTCGTCTCCCTTTATTCAGATTGTTCACTGCAGGAATAATTTTTTTTGTTAAGCATGGTAAGAACAAGCGATGGATTTTGTTAACAATGGTTTTTATTCATCAGTTTTTTGGAAAAATTCCTATAAAAATGAAGATGCAATCTCCAATTTTTCTCGATGCACTGACTTCCTTCTCGTTTTGGGGATGAATTCACCGTTATTCTCAACGAAAAAATTTCCTCTCCATCAATACAATCCACCCCCGCGTCTATCCCACTTCATCAAACTTCAAAAACGAAACTATTAATCATCTACAATATGTATCTATGGTGCCCCATGTAGGGGCTGTCCTGAGAATTTTTGGAAAACCTCGTTTCATATACTATGAAGGAAAAATAATAATGAAACTAAACGAATGAAAAATATAGTTTTAATGAATGAAAATAACATTTTGATGAAACAGTTCAGGCACTGCGTGGCGTGATGTTTCTTGAGAAATGTTTTTTTTTCTTTGATCTCTTGTGAAAAATGATCTTTTGATGATTTTTTTTTAATGGTTGTACACGTAAATATCAGTCTGATAAGTCTGCAATTGTCAGACAACGTTGAGACATTGAAAATTGTTTAAATCGTAATAATGGAAATAAGGAGAATAACTAATAGGTCGATGAGGAGAAATTTTAATAATAATTATACGCTTGTACTGGCAGTGGGCTCAGCTACCCTCAATACTCTGGTAGTACGGAGTTCTTATCACAGAGATATCAATTGTTTGGTGCTTTTTTAGTCTAGCCACGACATTTTTAATGAATAACAAATAAAAAATAATATTAAAAAAAATAATAATATTAAACAATCAAGAAAACGATAAATGTTTTGACATTTTCTTTTTCTTCATAAATAATAAATTCTTTTGGGTAAATTTCTTTCAACTGGATTTGTAATTTTTTTTTCTTCACCTCACGTTTTTCTCTTGTTCGTGGATTTAGCCGACTTGAGATAACCGAATTATAAAATTGAATTGACAAAATAATAATGAGATTAAGGGACAATTACACACGTACACGAAACGACACGACTCAAACGCTTGTCCCAATATCGGGACTTTTAATAAATAACTCTCAAAAAATTTACGATCTCTAGATTTAGAAATCATTCACGTGCTCTTTTAGGATTGTTTTTGTTCATTAAATATTCGGCACGCTTTTTTGACACTAATTTTTGTGCAGAGAAAATCATTTCTCAGAGATAGAGTGATGGAGACGATTGTTTTTCTCTAATAATATCTTGAAGGTTTAGAAAAAAGCGTCGGAGGGTTTTTTTTCCGCAGATTTTCATCAGCAGTGACCGATATTTTTTCAAATTAACAATTTAGGAAGTAATATTCGACTCAGATTCAGAATTCAGAATTCCTCCCCCATCCCTCCATTAACCCTAGATTGGTCACCCTATGAGGGAAAAATGCAAAAAAATTTGACTTGGTCAATTGAACTATCTAAATGTTATAGTAGTTTTTATTACAAGATATTTCCCAAAATTCCTAGAGAAAACATTATTTTGAACAGATGAATTATCTTTTCCCATGTTGAATGAAAGTACCCATGACGCGACGTTGCCGGAAACTCGCTAAACGCACCCGGGCAGTGTAGACTGAATTCGGCAACGTTACAGTCTAAAAACACGGCGGGGAATCCCCGCGCAGGGACGCATTTGGTGACCAGACTAGGATTAATCATAATCAAATTCTCTCATTAACTACTCGTGATATCGAAAACCTTCGCAGAACCTTTTTTATGTAGAATTTAGTCAGCTACAAAAAAAGCCTTCTGACATTTTCTCCTAAACCCCCTCATTACCGAGATAATCCTCAAATTCTGAATCGACTATTTTCAACCAGTCCAAAAAACGCCGGAGGCCCTCCCTTGCGGAGGGCCCCCGACCCTCCCCGAATCTCTCACTCATCCCAATCACTTTTTCCCTGCACAAAATCTCCCCTCGTCCTCTCCGCACCCCACTAAGACGCCCTAGCAAACTGAATGACCGAGCTATGTCTCTGTGCAGCGTTCTCACACCTCTCGCTCTCCATGCTCTCCAGAATCATCTTGGACCTCTTTCTGGGTGGCAAAATGAGGGTCTCCCTAGCAGGCACAGCCAGATCGAGCGGATCCGGCGACGGTGCCGGCGACACCGGATTGCTGCTAGGTGGCGTCAGTATCTGTTGCTTCATCATAATCCCCCCAAACTCCCTCCTCTCGACCTCCACAGCCTCCAGAGCGGCCTCAACCCGCCTCCTGGCATCATTCCCCGCCAGATTCATGAGTGTCCCCTGGCACTCCTCATTAACCTGGAGCCCATACTCCTGCTCGTACCCGCAGCCGGCGTCTTGATACATGTAAACCGGCCCAGTCTGCACGTCCTGCGCGCCAAATGCCTTGTCCTCGGCAGCAGCCGCAGCTGCGGCCGCCGCTAACAACGCAGGGTTGACCCCCTGTCCCTGTCCATACACCCCCTGGCCCTGCTCCCTAGGATACAAATAATACGGAAACTCCCTGTCCCCAGCCTCGTAAAGCTCCCTCGCCTCCTCAGTCTTGCTGTTCTCTTTGTCACTACTGCTGCTGCTGATACCACTGCCATCCGAGCTGCTCGAATGATCAGAATGATTAGAGTTAATATTGATCCCATTGATGCTCTGCGATATCTCGATAACCGGCTCGATCGGGGAATCCCGGGGTGATGTCGTCGAGTCCGCATGCGTCTTGATATGCGCCTCCATCGTCTTCTTTGAGTTGAAGGTCTGACAACAAAGTGTGCATTTGTAGACCTTCTGTCCGTAATGGGCTACCTGGTGGAGCTTCAGGACATGATTGTAGCCGAATGATTTGTTACAAATGTCACAGGTGTAGGGCTTTTCGCCCGTGTGAGTCCGCGTATGGACTTTGAGCTGTTTCGAGCAGGTGAAGCCCTTGCCGCATGCCTCGCAGACGTACGGCTTTTCGCCGGTATGCGTGCGCATGTGGATTACAAGTTGGCCAGATTGGATGAAGGTCTTGGAGCATATTGAACATTTGTGAGGACGCTCACCCGTGTGTATCCTCATGTGTCTGTGGAGTTTGCCAGAGTGCTCGAAGGCACGACTGCAGACGTCACACTTGTAAGGACGCTCCTTCGTGTGGATTCTGCGGTGGACGCTTAGGTTCTCTTTCACGGAGAAGGACTTGTTGCAGTATTCGCATTGGTAGGGCTTTTCGCCGGTGTGGGTGCGATAATGCCGGGTCAAACGGGCGGGGACGGCGAAGGTCTTGGAGCAGATGTTGCAGCGGTAAGGGTCCTCGCCGTCCTTGCCGTGCGACCGGAGGTGGCTCTGGTAGAGGTTCTTCTGGTCGAATGTCTTTTGGCAGATGAGACACTGGTACGGCTTCTCGGGTGACGGCTGGGCTGCCGGGGTTAGGCGGGTTAAGGTCGATGATGGGAAGATTGTGAGGTCTGGAGAACATACTAGAGACTTCAGGGGGTCTTGCTTTGGGACCACGTCCGGCATCACGTGCGGATGGCGAGGAGGGGCTATCGACTCCGGGTGGTAGTAGCCAACCATCTTCGCGGATCCTGAAACAGAAAGATGAGGATCATTAGCCTTCGTCGCTTTTAGGATACCTCGTATTGGAGGGATTGAGGTGTGCGGGAAGATAACAATCCACTAACAGTGTAATTAAATTAATTAATTCGAATTTATTGGTACGTTAATCGCTCTGTAATATAAAAATCCAAATCGGCTTCTGGTGATCAAAATTTGGTACTCTAAATTGAGACTTCAAAGTTAAGGGCTATGAGGGTCAAAATAAGGGTCGTGAGGGTCAGATTATGTGTCACAAGGGTCCGAATAATGGTCATGAGGGTCAGAATAAGGGTCCCGGAAGTCAGCTTAAAGGTCACAAGGGTTATTGTGAGGACCAAATTAAGGATCCAAATAAGCATCAAGGGTCATTAAACAACAAGGGTCCGAATAATGGTCATGAGGGTCAGAATTAGGGTCACAAGGGTCAGAATATCTCTTTATATTATAACGGTAATAAAAATGTGGTAGTCTAAATTAAGGGTCGGCATAAGGGTCCAAGGAGGGTCCAACCTTGGCTAGTCGCGGGCCAACACAGGCATCCAAGGCTGGCCCAAAGCTGGTTGATCAGTTGAGATCACTGAACTAGAACTATCTGCGTAACATTTCCCAAATTATGAGAACATAATTCTTAAAGGAACTGCCTGCGTTCCAGTACGTACTCCATATTGATATTTGTCGAATGTGTATTCACTTGGCTTTTAATTAAAGGAATTGTCTTCATCGAAACGTGCGCGAGAGTGACTTGCAAATACGGGGTTCATGCGAAAAGCCAAGATATTTGGAAAAGGTTGATTGAAGGTGATGTCTAATAGTGAAATAGTGGTTGCAATGGCAGAAGTAATCCAAAAAGAACGAGTAGCCTCTTGACATTTTCCACTCGTTTTCGAGATATGGCTGATTAGCTGTCCATTTATCTTGGGAATGAGTGGGTCTAGAGGGAAATGTCAGAAGACATTTTTTCCAGAGACTAGAAATTCCGCAAAATTTTGTCTCGTAGTGCCTCGTGGCTTCAC